TTCATCAGATGTGCAGAGTGTGCCATTGTTCATACAGGAATATGATTGTCCATTTAGGACTATAAAATTAAAAAAGTAGGTTGGGACTCCACTTGTGTTTTATCAAATCCTTGATGGGGTCAAGGGAGTGTTATTTTGAAGATTCATGCTGTCTTCTTCCCTTTACTAGAAAGTCTTTGGTTCGATAATGACAACCATTTCATATGTTTTTTGAGTTAAACTTTATTCAAATCCCTGTTTGGGAGCTGTAAATTTTTTACGCTTTTTAAGTTTCCATTAATTGCTGTTGTCCTTCCTGGCCTTTCTTTTTGGCTTCTTATACTGATAAAAAACAAAGCAAACACAAAACTTGAAAGTTTACAGAATCTCCAACTGCATGTGATAGGCAAAAGGGTTTTACAGTCAAGATTAAATCATTTGCTCGTCTCAAAATTCAAGAGTTTTTTTTTTTTTTGTAGTTTTATTACCATGTGCAAGTACAAAATTTATGGATAAATAGATGTCAATTAGAAAAATGCAAAGAATGAAGCATAGCTCTATGTAGATTCGAACAAGGCCTAGATTGGCAGATAGATCTAGACTAGAGTTATGATGAATGAGGATTGTTATCAGTTACAGTTGATTATTCTAATATTCTACACAAATTGTATGCGATGGTTGAGTAGTGAGGAAAAAGATTAGGATCTCACAAGTGCTAGTTAAAAAGCTGAGGCTTATCTTATTATCCAGTTATCACTGTGACTTAACTGTATGCAAAATGCATGACAAATAGGACCCCACAAATTGACACAACCATGGAACATAGGATTGTGATTGGGATATAGTTGGGCTTGACCTAACTAACCCACAAGCACAAAAAGCCTCCTCTTTCTAGTTAACACCATCCAATGTAAGGTTTCATAGTGGAGTGCCATCATGGTTTTGTTTAGAGGAGAAGGGGAAAGAAAAAAAGTGAGAAATTCAAGCACTGAACTACCCTCAAATCAAACGATAACAATGCAGTTCTTGGGACCCATCAACTACAAGATAGAATTTTCATTTTTCAACAATAGGACCCGTTCAGGGATGGAAGTTCTTTTCTGGAATCCCTTTCACATTGATTTTGTTATAAGGGTCCTATTCAACCCTCTTTCCATTCATTGGCTTCATATTTTTGTTTTTCTAGCAATAGAATAATGTAACTCAATGAAATATTACTTCATTAGAACTAAAAAATATACATGTTTATCATATCTTATTAGTTAGATTTGAGCATTTTTTTTAAGCAATGAGATGCATGCATCACTTAGTTTTTTTCTAATGGGTCTAGTATATCATTTAAAAAAACTATTGATATATCCAAAAATAAAATAAAATCCTAAAGACATCTTAACTTAAATTACCTCAAGAGTTTACTGAAGTCAAAGTGGACAAAAATTAGATTTTTATAATATTCTTAAATATAAAAGCATGTATTTCAATCTTGAATAAAGTGATAGTAAGGACTAATATTTTAGATTTGATTTCATGAGATTCAACTCGTCTTAAATAATGTTTATGCATTTATTACATAACATCAATTTGGTAAAATACTATTAAAATTATATATATGTATGTACCATCTCAATTTATGATATCTCAACTCATTGGTAAATGGATTCATTCTTTGTACACTTTGAACCTTACTTAATAGGACATGAAATTATATTAAAGTTATACTGATAATTTTCTGCTATTTAACTAGTGTTGAGTTACTTTTTTTATAATATTTATTTTAAAAAATTAATGCAAGATTTTTTTTTCCTTCGATGGAACGTGGGTGAATTTTGATTTGTAATTCTGTACCTTAATATATTAATTTTAATGGTAAGTGCTTCATAGAAAAACATACTTGAAATCATAGTTGCTTACAGTGAAAATAAGAATAGCAATAGATTTTGTTTGGTTTTTGTGTAACTATGATTTGTGCTGAAAATGGTGCTTAAGTGGAGACTCATTGTCAGAGAGTTAGGAGACAGCATACAAGTTCCTCCATTATCGTTTCTATTATAAAACGGTTGAATTCTTTACAATGAAACTAAAATTCAAATATTTTAATATTTTTTTACATTAAAAAATTAAAGTTACTTAATGATGCATAAAAAAAAGCAGAATATATGAATGTAGGTCAAAATAGACAACTTTTCATGTACATGGTATTTGACTTTTTAGCAGTTAGTAATCTAATCTTATCCTAAGATGATTAATTATATCACTCTTCAAATCAACCTTCCTGATTTTTTTTCTTCTTTTTTTTATAGGATAAAATGTTCCTCGATATAAAAAATTACGGGAGATGTTATATCAAATAAAGATAAAATTCACTAAAAATATATTTTATATTATTTAATTAAACATATCTCTATTTATATAATATATCACTTTAAATATGAATTAAATAATATTAAAAAAAGTTATCTCGTGAAACTATTTTAATAGTATTAATTATTTCTTTCTATAATAAATAAATTATATATAATTGGCACATATATTACAAGATATAAAATAATAATACATATAAATTATTAAACCGATTCAAATGAATTATATTATGATATATATATATATATATATTCGGTTTTAAGCAATTATATATTATTTATCAATTAAATTATAAATCTAGTTATTCATAAATAATTGTACGTGAAAAGTAATAATATTTTCGTATTGTTTAAATAAAAAATGTTGTTATTGAGAAAAAGAGGTGCCGTTCACTTCTCAAAGTACGGCGTTTTGTCTCCCACCAACCCATAATTTTGGCTGGGATTTCGTATTCGTGGGTACATTAAAAGACTACATTCAACAGTGTACTCAGGAAAAAAAAATACATAAATAGTTAGCGTAAAAACATATTATTAATTAATTTAAATTATTTTTAATACTATCGTTAAAGTAATTAGTATAAAAATCAATAAATTTATTATATGTGATAATTTAATATTAAACAATACTATACAAATCTTTTATATACCATTAATGTATATATTATCTCTTTTAGAAGAGATATTGTAAATTTATACGATGAATTGTTATAAAAGTGTTGATGTAATTTATTCTATTATTTATTTATATTTTTAAGATGGGTTGTATTTTTTTTTAAGTTTTCATTGTATAATTAAAAGATATGGAAGATAAGATTTTAAAATAAATCAATAATAACAAATATTATATTATTTACCACTTAGTTTTTTTAGTATTTTCCTATTTTGTTTTACACAGCACTACAGTCTTTCACTTTTTCCCTTTCTAACATGTCAAATTAACCCTAAATTAGCATAATAGGAGAGAAGATATATATGTGGTCTATTTTTTTTTTAGTTTCTTAACATTTTAAAAATTATAATATTATAAACTAAAAGTAAAAAAAAATATTATAAGAATAAATAGAGTGAAAAAATTGGGGTTAAGTTTAATATTTCCAATTAGTGTAATTTTTTATTATCTCTTCTATTTTTCTTCATTTCTTATATTTTTTTAAGTCAAATTATGTTAACAAATTTAAAAAAATATTTAAAAAAATATATGATGACTATTTAAACCCGTACAAAATTAATTAGTTTGATAGGAAGTTTTTCAAAAAATTAACCAGCAATATTTATAATCTTTTGTTGAATTGATCAAAAGTTTTATTTCCTTTTATAAATATATATATTTTTTAATATTGACTTGATTAATTTTTTTTTCTTCTACAAATATTTTTGTAACTTTATGATAAAGTACAATCATTTAACTTTTTTTGTGCATTACCGTTTTTTTTTCTCATTTTAGAGGCTATTGTCTTTAAGCAATGTATGAAGGCAAAAGTAGTAAAAATAATATTAGTGGATTCCATTAGTACTATTTTTTTCATCTTTGCTTTTAATTTTATTTTTTATTTTTTTTTCAGAGATGAAGTTTTGTTTTTCGTAAGTTGTCACTTTTGTTGTATCTGGCATTGGTTGATTTTATCTTTATTGGCTTCTCCAACACCAATGCATCTTAAACTTTTGTTTTTCTTTTGTTCACGAGAATCCAAGAAGCATAAGAGCCAAGAAAATCTGAAGGTGGCTACAGTGAGTGATTAATTTATCTCTGAGAGGCATGAAAATTTGGCTTTTCGAGAGAGACACTGTTCGTTCCATCATTTTCTTTCATTCCTTGCTTCCCCTTTCCACCCTCACTGTCTCACCTTTCTTCCATGCAAATACACTCAGTTTCAATATTAAGTAATTATAATATTCTTTTTGCCTGATAAAGGAATATAATTTGCACATTTAAATCCCCATAAATAAAAAACTTCTCAAATATAAAATTATTAGAAGGGAATATATTTTTTTTATGGATAATAACTCAAATTCTGTTTTTGCAACTCTTATCATTACAGTTTAATATTTATATGTTATAAATTTTAATGACCTTTTCAGGAAATAATATAAATTGTTTTACATAATTAACTAATTAGAAATAATTTAAAAACAACATAAAATAATTATTATTGTTTTGACTCTGAACATTGTTAAACAGTGTAGTCAGCTATTAATGTGCATGTAACATACATTCTTTTTATTTTTAAGGAAAAAATGGATAAAATAAGCAAAGTATGCCGGATACTTTCTGTGGGTTGTCGGAGTAGTTGGTCACATAAAGATTCACACAAATTTATAAAAAACTAAAAAGTAAACACAGCCTTCAAAGATTTTTTTTTTTAAATGGTAGAATAAAGATAAACAGTTTCGCATTTTCTTGTGCGAACCACATCCTCGTTCCTTCGTTTAATGTTGCCACTTCCCTGTTCCTTTTTTTCTTTTTCTTTTTTTTGACTCCCTTCAATGCAATTGGTTAACACTACTTAACAGAGCAGAGAGAAAAGTTTCATTCACTTGTTTACTCACATAACATATACTTCTTTATACTGTGGAGTTGTGATTCTTCAATACCATATATTCTCTCTTTCTCTCTCTCTTTTCTTGATTTGTGTTGTGCAACAGTTAAAAGTGGTGTTGATGTCTGCGGCATTGGAAGAGGTTCCTTCAATGAAAGGTGGGTGTGAAGAAGGGTTGAACCTGAAGGCCACTGAGCTGAGGCTTGGGTTGCCAGGGTGTGAGTCACCAGAGAGGGAGGGTGTGTTTAAGAGTGTGGTGGTGTCTGGGGCCAAGAGGGGTTTCTCTGATGCCATTGATGGAGGTTCTGGAAACTGGAATGGTGGATCTGAAGTGGGTTTGGGAAAAGATGCTGCCTTGTTCTCTCCAAGGGGAACTGTTAGTGCTGCCAAGTCTCTCACTCTCACTGCAGCAGACTGCACCAACCACACAACTGTTTTGGGTGCTTCTGTTCTCAAGGAAACAGTTCCACACTCTCCAAAACCTTTGCATGAGAAGAAGCCTCAGATTTCTGCTCCAGCTGCTAAGTATATATTTTACTTTCTCCTTGCCTTTTGCTGTTAAGTATTAAATAAGTGTTTGTGTGTGTGTGCTGTTATCGTTTTTTTTTTGTTCTTGTATTGTTTCTTTCTGTGTTTTATCTTATCTTCTTAACTTGATGATGTTGGCTCTGACTTTACGAAATTATTTTATTTATTTGTCTCTCTCTGTTTAGTTTTTATAGTTTTTCTTTGTGTTTTCACGGAGTTGGAAGCAAGATGTTTCTTTTGGTATTGAGTAAGTGGGTGAACGAATATTTCAGAGGAGGTGGATTCTCTTTTCTTTCAGTTTTCTTTTTCAGTGAGTTGGAATTTATCCTAAAGCTTTGATTTTTAACTCGTTTTTAACCATGTTGATTAGCGTTGCCATGTAGCTTAAATTTATTCCATCTGGTAGAATAAAACTTTGTTGTTGGTAATCGATTAGAATATAAACAGAGATGAACAAACTTAGCCTGTTGCTGATGGTTATAATCTCATGCTGGCCTCTAGCTTAAAAGGAAGTGTTATTAATTACTCGTGTTCTGTGTAATTCAGAGGATATTCCTTTGATGTTAATAATCATCTTATATCCATATTCAGAGGATACTCGTGTTGCGTGGAACAAACTCTGGTTGTTACATAATTTTTCTTCCATGTCTTGGTTGGTTGTCTATGATCTTTGGTTTTGATATATGATTGAGATTTGACTCCTCCAATTATCATTTTCTGTCCTTTCTGATACTGAAAAATTTTCACCCTTGACATGAGGATACAAATCTGTACTAGCTGGATATTCCTTTGTGAATTTTGGACCTATCATAGTGTAATTTATTGTTGTTATGTGAACCAGGGCGCAAGTTGTGGGATGGCCACCAATCCGTTCTTTCAGGAAGAACTCAATGGCTTCTCAGCCTCAGAAGAATGATGATGCTGAGGCAGAAGCTAAGTCTGAATGCCTTTATGTTAAAGTCAGCATGGAAGGCGCCCCATACTTGAGGAAAGTGGATCTTAATAGTTTTGGCACTTACAAGGAACTCTCTTTGGCACTTGAAAAGATGTTTAGTTGTTTTACAATCAGTAAGTTCCTTTGTACCTGTTATCATCACCTTCTGGCTTCTCTTTGAGTGTCTTGCCACTTGCTCTCATGCATATCCACTAATATGCAGATAGAAACATTTTATTTAAAGTAGAACTTAGAGCTGGAATCTATTGATAAAGTAAGAAACATTTTATTCTAATGTTTTTATTGATAAAATCAGGTCAATGTGGCTCTTATGGAGTTTCTTCTAGTCCAGAAAATTTAAGTGAAAGTAGATTGATGGATCTTCTTCATGGTTCAGAATACGTTCTTACCTATGAAGACAAGGATGGAGATTGGATGCTAGTTGGTGATGTTCCCTGGGAGTAAGTGCAATACCTGTTTTAATTTGCTAGAACAGTGTTAGACATTATTTTGTCTTAAAAATATCATGATTAATAAAGGATGGAGTATTTCATTCTTTTCTTTTTCCTGTTCAAGGAAACATATCTAAAATGATGTCTAACTAATCTTTTAGGATGTTCACTGAGTCTTGCAAGAGGCTGAGGATAATGAAGAGTTCTGAAGCAATTGGGCTAGGTAGGTCCACAGTTCTCTCTTATTCTCTGTTTTTCTTCTTGTAAAAATTGAGAAAAACATGAAACTCATCGTTCAAACTTGAAAACAGAATCCTGGTTTGACTTGACGTTAACTCATATAATTGGTTATTGACGATGTTAGATTCATATAAAAAGAGTCTCATTGGCATTAAAAACCCTTGACTAGAATTGCTATTATAGAGTTTTGTTGTGTATAATAATTGTTAGACTCATATAAGTTGTGTTGTGATCATTGCAGCACCTAGAGCTGTGGAAAAGTGCAAAAGTCGCAACTAGTGGAGTGGTGTATGCTTATGTCTTCTGACCCTGAAAGATGGAAGATGATGATATTTAAGCATATAAAGATCTTATTTCTTATGTATAATTCTGTATACGAGATTGGGGTATCGTAAACTATTTAGTGGACATGATATATCGATGACAAGATATTAGGTTTGTTGTAGCCGTCTATATCATTTTGATGTAGATGTTTAAGGTTTTAGGTTGTTCTTCTCCCACACTTCAATTACACTCATTAAGGCCTACCTTAGTATGTAAATTTTGCATTTCTTTACTATCTTTTACCTCTCTCTCTCTCTCTCTGTCTCTTCAAGAGAGCTTTTTGTTTGTCATGCAAGCTAAGAAAACAACATCATACCACTCCTATATTGTAAAGTTAAATATTAACTTTTAATGGAGAGTATTTTTAAAAATTGTGTCCATTAATTCATGTGATTTTTCTTGTATTCAGAATTTGACTTATCTATGTGTTTTTCTTATGCCCTTTAAATATTTTTTTAATTATAATTTAATTTAAAAATCTTTGTACATTATCATATTTAATCATACCATATTTTTTATCATTAAATCTCTTAAGTTTTTATTAATACTTTATTGTTCTTGAGATTTCAAATAGGAAATTCTCTAAATATGCTCAACGTCCTCTTCATTTTTCTTTATATATTTGTTATTGGTTGAAATTACACTACTACAAAATATTCTTTCACGTAATATTAAACACATTCTACGTCGGTTCATATGGGAACCGACGTAATTAGTCAACCGACGTAGAAAGTACTTTTTACGTCGGTTCCCATATGAACCGACGTGGAAAGTCGTTTTTTTTTATTTTTTTCACCCAAAAATTTGAAAATTGTCACTGCCAGGATTCGAACTCAGGATTTTAGAATTGAAAACTAATACTCTAACCACTAAACTATTATAATTTCTTGATAATAACTTACAAATAAATTATATTTATATACAAATAAATGTATATCCATGTAAATATATATTTATTTGTATATATTTTCTGGAAAGTATTTTTTTTTTCAGACCAAAAATTCACTTAAGTTAATGAATTATCACTGACGACATTTGAACCCAGTATTTTAGGGTTGTAAGTTAATATCTCAACCACTAAACTACTACAATTTTTTGATAATAACTTACAAATAAATTATATTGGTATTTTTTGACCGAGGGTGAAAGTGTGATTGACTCTCGCTTGAGTGAAAATATGTTAAAGCTCACGGAAATTCACTCACTCAAGTCTTGCTTGAGCGAAAATTGGTATTTTTCGCTTGAGAGCGAATAACGCGTTTCCCAAATTTATTTTATATTATTATATAAATAAAATTATAAAGATTATATTATGTCATTAAATTACAAACTCATATAAAGATACCTGCTCACAAATTTAGCATCAAATTTTGAAAACCTACTTGACACACACTTTCACTTTCGAGTGTACCCTCACATTCAACATATAAATATATAACTATATAAATATATCAAAATATATAAATATATTTGTATTTATATATTTATATATTTACACGGATATATATTTATTTGTATATAAATATAATTTATTTGTAAGTTATTATCAAAAAATTCCAGTAGTTTAGTGGTTGGAGTATCAGCCTCCAACTCTAAAGTACTTGGGTTTGAATCCTGCCAATGACAATTCTCTTAAAAAATTAATAAACTTCTAAAAAATATAATATAAAGAGAGGGGAGACTTCTAAATAAATAAAGGGGTAAAGGGGTTGTAAATAAATAAAAATTATTAATTTAAAAAATTATACTTTCGACGTTGAAAGTTACAGACTTTCAACGTCGCCTGATACAACGTCGGTTGTTGAACCGACGTTGAAGGCTTTATTTGTAGTAGTGTTAACACTACAAGTGTTTCGAACATCATCATCCATGTGTTATTTTTTAGTTCATTTTCATCATAAAATTTGCTTCTACATTCTTTTTATAAACGCTAATAAATCTATCGAAGTATTATGTTGATATTAAATTGATTTTTTAATTATATTTTTATGTAACTTTTCAACGTCGCTCGATACAACGTCGGTTGTTGAGCAGAACGTTGAAAGCCTTCCGAACCGACGTTGAAGGCTTTATTTGTAGTAGTGTTAACACTACAAGTGTTTCGAACATCATCATCCATGTGTTATTTTTTAGTTCATTTTCATCATAAAATTTGCTTCTACATTCTTTTTATAAACGCTAACAAATCTATCGAAGTATTATGTTGATATTAAATTGATTTTTTAATTATATTTTTATGTAACTTTTCAAAAGAATAAATAAAATAGTTCTTAAACTGAATTAAAAAAATTTCGAAAAAGTTAGAGTTAGATGTTAATACTATATATGTTAAGTAGGTGCAGTATGGAGAGTTAGTGAACATGACCCAATTACTTACTCTTATTATAAATACTGATATAATTATAAATTTAATTAAACAAATGAGAATTAATCACGTAAATTTCTTATATTTTTATTATTTATTTTCGTCTTATAATATATTTATATTGCGCGTAAATTTATGATAACAGTTTAAAAGGTTAGATAAAAGTCCCCTATTAATATAGATTGGGAGAACGGAGAAAGAAAAAATTGTTGAAGTGTTTTAAGATAAGAATTTGTTTTAAATCCCTCATATTAAAATTAGTTTTATTGGTAACACATTATATTCTACAATTAATAGCATGTTTGAAAACGGAAATTTTTCATAATGCCTGATGGAAAAAAGTTACATTAAAAAAAAAAAAGTTATTAGTCTTTACAAATATAAATTTGTTTATCTATTATAAACAATATTTATTAATTTTAATTTTTATGTATAAATTATTTGTTACTAAATTCTTTTATATTTTTTAGTTTTATTTTTAATTTATGTATAAATTAATATTTTATTTTTATAAAAATACTTATGGAGAAGTGTTTTTAAATTGGAAACATGCTGAGCCACTATTGTAGTTCTCATTTTAAAAGTCCAAAACAAAAAGAAGCCCTTTAATGGTTTAGTTTCAAGTTTGGGCTTAACAAAAATTAAAACCTTAACATTACTTACATTCCAACAACTACCTCTCAATACAAAAACTTAAAACTGAGTTAATTTCTGCGCACCTTAAATTATTTTTGGCGTAATTTCTTTTACATTATCAACTAATTAAAAATGTCTAAGGATGTTTCACATGTACAAAGTAACGTTTAAAAAGTTGTCAAATTCTAGGTTAAAATATGTAACAAGTTACAATAAAGACAGAGAATATTATTTTAATATAATCCATTAATGAAAGATAGCTACTAAAATTGAATCCCAAAATTTTATATCATGGTCATGGTCTAGGTGGTACCTGCTACCGGTTGAGCCAACCATATTATATACAGTCATAATCTTCCTACAAGATTGGTTTCGATTTTCATAGATTTTACCTAATCCACTTCACTACATTTTTTGCACATCAACTTTACTGGATTTAAGAAGCAATTGACAGTTTCTTATCATATATTTTCTGTATCTAACAGTACTTTTCTGTCATTTTCTTCTTATCTTAACAAAAGTTATATTATTATTATTATTATTAACTCACTCAAACGCATTCTTAATAATCAGCCAGATATGAAAAAGGATTACACTAAACATAAAGAATTGCGAAGACAAGATATGGAAAGCTAGAAAATTTAATGGTGTGATCACATGCATGCATGGAAGCAAATCTTTATGGAAAGTATGCACTGGTTTTGTTGGGTAAGGTAAATCTAAGAATTAATTCAACAACCTCATAATGAATAAAATAATGGATGAGCATGTGTGGAATGACATCATGGATCGGAATGCTAGAGATCGATTGTGTTAAATTAATACACAACTTTAAAGACAGATACTTCAAAACCACAAATTAATCTCAGAACAAATCTCAATGACACGTGAAAAGCAGAGGAATTATATGTCATCCACCACTCACTTTGGTTGACTCTTCATCAGACAAGAATTGTAACTAGTATTTTAAACTACTTCTTTTTGTTTAATTCAAAAACAAAACTATCAAATTAATCCTATAATGTTTGAAAACTGTTTTATTTTTGTTGATCGTGTGCTTGATACAATGTTGTAACTGACAAAAATTCAGTATGACAAATTGATCATATGGTGCCATGAACTCTGAAAAACTCATGTCATTGATAACAGCAAAAGGAATACTATAATTCCTCTGAAAGATCATGCCACTAACCAATATCCTTGAGCCATTGAATCTTCCCTGTATATAGCAAACCAAAAAGGAATCTTATTCTGATGCCCTCCACTGGAAGGATGGAAATATATATACCTTAAAGGGGGTCCTTTATCATATGATTGATCCTTAGCAAGATACATAGCAGACAGTGCTCTAATCAATATACAGTGCACATAACAAATGAAGTTAAGATCTCAGATACAATCATGTCTGATATGATCATACTCAATGCTATCAAACCATATCTAAGATAGATCATGAGAGCACTTGGGATGTTGGTTTTCTAAATCAATGAACAGAAATATTTATATACGGTTAGGAGAAAAGGTGGACCAGTCCCATTAATATTGCCACATTTCCAAGTAATCAATGGGACCTTATGAGTAAAAAAATTTATATTAAGGGTTAAGTATATCCAAGTGTTGAATTTTGCCACTTTTGCAGTTTCTCTCAGCATGTGGTCATGACCCTTTCTTTGTAGTTTCCAAGGTCGTGTTCCAGTTGTGCCAACTTCATTCAGTTCATTCAAATTTAAAGACATTTTATGTGGTTTTTATATGTATTGCTAGAAAATCTTACACCTAAGCAAAACGTGTATTCCGTGGGCATCAAGATATTGCTGAAGCATATCAAGAAATAGAGATCTAGAGAAGCAAGATTTTAAGTGGACAAAGTTCAGGGTGAAGGTACTTCTTTATTTGAAAATCCAAATCAGCTACAAAATTATGACAGCAAACTATTCAGTTTTCGGTTTATAAA